CCCGAGTTCGGTGGATTGAGGTAGCAGTTATAAGCGAAGACCAAAACGGAAGTCGTAAGGTGGAGTACATTCTCAAAAGACTTGGTCAAGAAAGGACAACGATCTGTATAGTTCGCTGCTTCACTCTACTATGCAGATCGTTGTTTTTATGTCGCTGGACGACTTAAGCTGAGTTCGTGACAGTTAATTAACTATTATTAAGCGAGCGATGCCACCAACCACGGATTCGGACACGCGTGACGAACGCCCTCACCAGCGCCCACGCACGAATCCGCGAGGGACGCGATGAGATGTACCCCCGGACTGCTACACCCCTCCCCCGCCGCCTACAGCGGCTGAGCAAGGCGAACAAGGACCCTCAGCTCAAGACCCCACAGCACAAGGCTCATCGACGCAGTCATCTTCCGCGCAGGCTACCTTAACGCCTGAAATGTTGGCGCAGTTATTGCAGCACACCCTGCAAATTACGCAACAACAAGCGACGCAGATCCAACAACAGATTCGGCAAGCTCAAACGCGTCCAAGACCATCTCGCAAGAAGTACGACCCGCCACGCTTCGACGGCAGCGATCAGGATGACCTGGAGCTTGGATTTTCAGCACAGAGCAGTATTACTCCGAGTTGCGTACCGAGATGCACGAGTTTTCCTCCAATTTTTCCGATATGGTCTTTGCCAACCTCGGTACGGACGCACAAGCATGGTATCGTGATGTGAAGATCTCGCTCGGTGCCAGTCCATTTACATGGAGTGTCTTCAAAGAGCGCATCCGTGCTCGATTCCGCGACAAGGACTTCAAGTACAAAACGCTGACGAAGATGTATGAGCTGAAGCCTGGCAAGTCGCAGCAGGAGTACACTTCGCGGTTCTTACATCTCCTCTCACAAGTGGATACAGAACTGCCCGAAGTCGTCAAGCGCTGGCTTTTCCAGCAGAATCTGCGCGCCGACACTAGTGGATACAACTCGCAAAACGTCCCGAGACGCTAGAGAAAGCCATCTAGTTAGCTCAGCGCTATGAGGACGCCAAGCCCGCTAACACGCGGCCTCCTGCAAATGAGCCGGCGAAACAGAACGCCAAAACAAACAACAGCAGTTCCGGCAACAGCAAGTCGATGAAAGACGCCTCTAAGGATAATCCGGTCAAACGATGCAACTACTGCAAGAGGAAAAACCACACAGAGGACGAGTGCCGTACGAAGGCTCGCGACGTCACCGCTGCTGCTGAATCTGGGCCGCCAAAAAACGGCCCAGCTCGGTAGGGTGGCAACCTACCGATCCAACAAGTGCAGGAAGCTCTGGCAGTAAGCCTTCTGCGCCGCCAACATCTGATGAAGTCGCTAGCAACAACTCGAAGCAACTAGCATTTCATTCGGACAAACTATACTGCTACCTGGCCCAGAACGCACGAATTCACGACCGTGTTGCTCAGTGTTTCGTGGACAGTGGGTCATCCTTC